AACTCAAAACTCTTTTCAAAATTCATAACCAAACAAATTTTTCTCTTTTCAAAACTCAACTCAAAATTCATAATTGAAAATACAACTCTACACTCAAATCATGATTTTAAAAAATAAAATAAACAAATATCTTTTAAAATTTTTCTTTAAATAAAATTTTGAAAATAGTTTGATTGTGAGTTTTGAAAGAATTTTGAATTAAGTTTTGATTTGTATGTTTGGTTACACATTTGGAAAAGAATTTTGAATTTTTTTTTATTCGGTAGTGTTATATGTACCAATTAGTGTACTAACTAGTATACCAACACTAATTATGATATTATTATTGACCCCCCACTCATTAATAACATTACAAATACTAAAAATATCTTAAATTATGTCACATCATCAATTGGTACATTAATTAATACATATAATATTATTCTTATTTATTAGAATTACAATTCCAAAAGTAAACCATAACCGAAATCAATACAAAAAATGTCATTTTCTTGTATAAATTTTGTACTCTTTACTGTTGTTAAAAAAAAATCAGTGACTGTTAATAACTTTTCTCAAAGTCTACGATTAAGTAATTCTCCCTTATTTTATTGGGTTGTAGTCAGCATTAAGTTGCCAACGAGTACGAACATGTGGAAGGCGCCTAATTGTGTATTAGGATCCTCTAGAGTGGGATGCCTTGAAGTGAGTGATCCAACGGTTCAAAATAAAACTAACTAAAACGGCGTCGTTTTGGTTAGCAATTTCAAAAAAAAAAAAAAAACAACAACAACAACAACAACAAATAGAAATCAACTTTCTGGGTTCGCTTTCACTAGTTTGTGGGAGAGTTTGAGATAGAGAGAGAAGGGACCAGAGCAAGAGAAGGGACAGAGCTTTGATTTTGAGTTGAGACTCTACTTCATTTTAGAAATCTTTTGATTCAAGTGGATAGTGAGTGGTTCTTGTTCTTGATCTATACACTAGTGCTTCACAAATCAGCCCTTGATGATGATGATGAACATCCTTTGTTCAAGTCAGCCATAGAAGACCTTCTGTCAACGATTTCCTCCGTCGATTTCCATGTCCGTTGATCGGATATGCTGATTTTGATGATGATGATGATGATGATGATGATGATACAGATCTGAATCAATCTTTGGTCCTCGCACTATGGGGTTTGTAAATATACATATATGCATATATAAATACATATCTGAATCAATCTTTTTATGATGATGATGATAAAGATATGAATCAATTTTATTATCAAATCGATTTAATCTTCTTCACAGGGTCTGTAAATATATATATATACATATGCATATAGAAATACATATCTATATCAATCTTTTGATGATGATGATGACAATGATGATACAAATCTGAATCAATCTTATTATCGACGAATCGATTTAATCTTTTGAAGCCTCTTTCTCATTTTTTTCATGGGTTTTCTTCAATCTTTTGATGATGATGATGATACATATCTGAATCAATTTTATTATTGAATCGATTTAATCTTCTTTTTTATTTATTTAGATTTCACAGATCAAAATCCATGATAATGATACAGTTTGAAACCTCTTTCTCATTCTGTTTACATTTTTTCTTCAATCTTTTGATGATGATGATGATACATATCTGAATCAATTTTATTATTGAATCGATTTAATCTTCTTTTTTATTTATTTAGATTTCACAGATCAAAATCCATGATAATGATACAGTTTGAAACCTCTTTCTCATTCTGTTTACATTTTTTCTTCAATCTTTTGATGATGATGATGATACATATCTGAATCAATTTTATTATTGAATCGATTTAATCTTCTTTTTTATTTATTTAGATTTCACAGATCAAAATCCATGATAATGATACAGTTTGAAACCTCTTTCTCATTCTGTTTACATTTTTTCTTCAATCTTTTGATGATGATGATGATACATATCTGAATCAATTTTATTATTGAATCGATTTAATCTTCTTTTTTATTTATTTAGATTTCACAGATCAAAATCCATGATAATGATACAGTTTGAAACCTCTTTCTCATTCTGTTTACATTTTTTCTTCAATCTTTTGATGATGATGATGATACATATCTGAATCAATTTTATTATTGAATCGATTTAATCTTCTTTTTTATTTATTTAGATTTCACAGATCAAAATCCATGATAATGATACAGTTTGAAACCTCTTTCTCATTCTGTTTACATTTTTTCTTCAATCTTTTGATGATGATGATGATACATATCTGAATCAATTTTATTATTGAATCGATTTAATCTTCTTTTTTATTTATTTAGATTTCACAGATCAAAATCCATGATAATGATACAGTTTGAAACCTCTTTCTCATTCTGTTTACATTTTTTCTTCAATCTTTTGATGATGATGATGATGATACAGATCTGAAACAATCTTATTATCGAATCAATTTAATCTTTTTTTTTTATTTATTTAGATCTCACAGATCGAAATCCATGATAATGATACCGTTTGAAGCTTCTTTCTCATTCTTTTTGGGTAAGTAGCTTCTTCTTCTTCTTCTTTCTCATTCTGTTCACATTTTTTTTTTCTTCATTATTTTTTTTTATAATTTTTCTCCACCAAAACAATATCGTTTTGACAAGAATTAATCTCAACCTTCCATTAGTGACACGGGTCGGATCCAAGAATTAATCTCAACCTTCCATTAGTGAGACACGGGTCGGATGCATCTCATTCACTCTAGGGATCACAACGCCCTAATTGTTTTGTATTCTCCCAACCCAACAACGGCTATATTCACCACCGCCCCCCGCCCAACGGTACATTTCTCTCACAAAATTGCAACGGAGACAAATCTTTCTATCCTCCGCTCTCCTCATTACGATTAGGCTCACATCCGCATGCAATTCTTCCGTCTCCTTACACTTGAATCCACTTTTTTCCGATTCCGATCAATGTATTTTTCACCCAATTCGATTTAGGATTTTTCAACCACTCAAATTCCATCCCCAATTATCGAATCATTAGGTTTTAGAGTTGTCTTGATCAGAATCGGAGTTAGTGTTGTGGTTTTGTTTGAATTTCTGCTGCGATCGGTGACATGAAGATCGAAGAGTTGGACGAGGTTGAATCTGATGGAAGGAGTTACAATCACAGTGATTTCTGGAAGAATGATTGTTCGGGTCGACGCAAAGAGAGCGCTAGTCGGAGCTGGGGCTCGGATCCTGTTCTACCCGACCCTTCTGTACAATGTTTTCCGGAACAAGATTCAAGCTGAGTTCAGCTGGTGGGACCAAATTGATCGGGTTTTGGTTCTAAGTCCCTTCATATATATATATATGTATGTATATTTGTGTATGTTGTTGTATCTGTTTTTTGTGTTTGCTTTGGTCTTGTGTTTGTATCACTGTGATTGTTGCTCTATGTTTTAATTTCTGGAGTTGTTTTTGTTTGATCTGTTTGGTTGCTGGGAAAATGGAGGACTACAAAGAAAAACGAAGGATTTTTCGTGTTGTTTTAATGGGTGGTAGTTTAGTAGCTTTTTGGAATTGTTCTTCTCGATCCATTTGGTTGTTGAGAAAATAGAATTCCTATGTATTTCAGTTGCTAGAGAAAATAAAGACCACGTATGACTGTCACTGTATGTAATAGTTTCTGGAGTTGTTTTTCTTTGATCTGTTTGGTTGCTGGGAAAAAAAAAAAAACAAAACAAAACAAAAAAATTGAAAAGTGAAGTAGTTCAGTAGAGCTTTAAAATTGTTCTTCATGATTCATTTGGTTGTTGAGAAAATAGAATTCCTTTGCATTTAAGTTACTGGAGAAAATGTAAGGAAAAAGATGGGATAATGGGGCCTGTTATTCTTAGAATTCTGATTATCTGAATTGGAGAAAATGAAGAGCTTCGTGAAACTTTGACCAATGCAACTACTTTACATTTCATTTTCTTGGTGTTCTTGGTGCACTGATGGAATGTGAGCTTAAATTAAAGGGATCATGATTTATTGATTTGAGTTTTTATTTCTATGTTGATTTTTAAACAGTATCTTCTGCTGGGGGCGGTTCCATTCCCTAAGGATGTTCTGCAGTTGAAGCAGCTTGGTGTTGGCGCTGTCATCACCCTTAATGAGCCTTATTGTTGGTTCCAACATCATTGTACCATGTGAGTGATGTCGTCTGCGCTGATTCGACGGCTGGGGATTGGGAGGTCACGGCTCAGGTCCAGGGATTTCAAGAA